ATCCATCCATCCATCCATCCATCCATCCATCCATCCATCCATCCATCTATCTATCTATCTATCTATCTATCTATCTATCTATCTATCTATCTATCTATCTATCTATCTATCTATTTATCTGTTGTCTCCATCCCAAACCTTTTCAGTGATGTTAACATAGTTTCTGGCCAAAATCCCTGAAGCCATCAGGAAGTTACCGTGCTGTTTCCAAATGAATATTGCTGCTGATCTTAGAGATGCAGCCAACATCAGTAGACAGAATGTGGGGGTGGGAGAGACATAATAGAAGTTTTTCAGGGTAAAAAGAGAAGATACATAGAATATAAGTGCATGAATAATTCCTGCCTGAGGTGGGGCAGGAAATTTACCTCAACTTTAAGTTAAAAGTTTATCTGAGGTCAAGGAATTTACTGCAGGACATTTGTCAGAAACTCCCACAAGCATCTCTTTTACAATAGTAAGATTCTATTTGCTCTCCCCAGTCAGCTGCTGAAGAAGCCATCTCCTTCTCCAGGTTGCAAGGCCAGTCCTGCTGGGAAGAATTACAATATTTGACTAATTCTTGTAAGTATTTTACCTTATTTTCTACATATTGAAAGTATTCAATGATCATGAAGTCTATGTTTATGAAGCATGTGTTGGGTATTAATTTCTTTCCTGAAGAATGTATACCCTTTAAAATAAATGGTTTAGAATGACACAAAGAACAGCTCCACTTCTGAAACATAAGCTTAGTAGACTAGGCCATGCTTTCTTGTAGCTATGACAACACAGCATTGCCTTTTCTTTTTCTTTTCAAGTTTCATTTCAATATTTTTCCTACCAGAACAAAAAATTGCCTTGGTCCCTAGTACAATTACAAAAATGGAATGAAACAACTTTTAGGCAACTGTCCCAATAAGCATACATTAGTAGTAGTAGAAATAGAAGTTGTTTTGATAATATACTTTTCAATTAATCAATGAATTGAGGTGCCATCGAATTCAAAACCAACTCTGAGTAGCTCATAATATAATAAACTACAAAACCAAATATACAATGAAAGTAAAATACAAAACAAAGACAGATTGCTCAATACAAAGTTATTGACAAAAACACATCCAGAAAGAGGCTCCATTCATCTTAACACAAGATCTGGGACAACCTCAAGCAGGAGAACCAATACCATTGCAGACAAGTGACTGTCTAGTCTCTTCTTAAAACCTCCAGTGATGGAGTGCTCACGATTTCTGAAGGCAAGCTGTTCCACTGGATAATTGTCCTCACTGTTAGCGAGTTTCTCCTTAATTCCAGGTTGCTTCTCTCTTTGGTTAGTTCCAACCATTGTTTCTTGTCCTGTCCTCTGGTGCTTTGGAGAATAATTTGACTCTCTCTTCTTTGTGGCAGCCCCTCCGATACTAGAATACTGCTATCATGTCACCCATACTTCTTTTCTTTAGATTAGCCAAACCCAAAACTTGCAGCCATTCTTCATAAGGTCTAGTCTCCAAGCCCTTGATCATCTTAGTTGCTCTTCTTTGAACTTTTTCCCAAGTCTTTTTTGTAGTATGGTGACCAAAATTGGCTGCAGTATTCCAGGTGTGGTCTTCCTAGGATTTTATAAAGTGGCACTAATATTTCATGTTATCTTGATTCTATGCCTCTGTATATACAATCCAGGATTGTATTAGCATTTTGGCTGCTCCTCCACACTGCTGGCTCATATTCAAGTGATCATCCACTAGGACTCCAAGGTCCCTCTCACAGTTACTGCTTTTGATTCAGGTCTCATATAACATGTACTTATACCTTTGAGTTTTCCTACCTAAATGTGAAACTTTGCTTTTCTCCACATTAAAATTAATTTTGTTGGATAAGGCCCATTGGTCAAGTTTGTCAAGATCTTTTTGGATCCTGAACTTGTCTTCTGGGGTGTTGGCTATTCCTGCCAGTTTAGTATCATCTGTGAATTTGATGAGTTCCCCTTCTATTCCATCATCTGTCAAGATAATGAAGAGTACTGGGCCTACAACAGAGCCTTGTGGTACCCCACTGCTTACTTCTCTCTATGTGCACGTACTACCATTAAAGACTACTCGTTGAGTCCGGTTTGTCAGCCAGCTACAAATCCATCTGGTGGTGATGTTGTATATTCCACATTTTTCTAGTTTACCAAGAAGTAGATTGTGGTCTACTTTTTAAAAAGCCTTACTGAAATCTAAATATACTATGTCCAATAGCATTTCGCCAGTCTATTGATTTAGTGACTTTATCAAAGAATGAAATAAGATTGGTTTGACATGATCTGTTTTTAACAAACCCATCCTGACTACTATTTGCTTTATAACTTTAACTTAATTTGCTTCCAGTTGTTCACAAATCTTTTTTTATTATCTTTTCCAGGATCTTCCCAGGTATTGATATTAGACTGATCTGTAGTTTCCTGGCTCTGTTTTTTAATCTTTCTTAAACATGGAAACTACATCAGCCCTTTTCCAATTTTCAGGTACTTCCCCGGTGCTCCAGGATTTTTGAAAGATATGGTACAGAGGTTCTGACATAACCTCTGCCAGCTCCTTCAGAACTCTGGGATGTATTAATATGTTGAAAGAAACTTTTTAAATTACCTTTGACTTTTGTAACAAGCCTTAGTTCAATCTGAGCCTTTGCTTTCCTGACTTCATCTTTGCATGTTCTGGCTATCTGCTGATAATCAGCCTTAATTATGTTTCCCTTTTTTTCCTTTTTTTTTGTGTTTGTCCTTTTTGTCTTTCAGTGTGTCAGAGAGATCTTTGTGCAGCCATCCTGGTTTCTTTTTGAATTTCTTGTTTTTCTTTTTCAGTGGTATTGTCCTGGACTGGGCTTTTATGATCACATTTTTCAGAGTTTCCCATGCTTCTTGAGTTGTTTTCCCCTTTAGGATTTTCATCCATGGAATCTTTCCTACACTTTCTCTCAGTTTATTAAGATCAGCTCTTTTAAAGTTTAAGATACTGAGTCAGGTCCCATAGATCCCTATAAGGATGCAGCCATTCTGGTGGTGAGGGGACCTGCTTTCTTTGTCTTGCTATCACTTTCCCTCAGTAAAAGTTTCCTTTTAAAATACCAATTGTTTCAAGAGTTCTACTTTCTTGAGCCATGGTGGTGCAGTGGTTAGAATACTGCAGGCTACTTCTATTGACTGCTGGATGCCTGCAATTTAGCAGATCGATTCTCACCAGGCTCAAGGTTGACTCAGGCTTCCATCCTTCTGAAGTGGGTAATATGAGGACCCAAAATTTGGGGGGCAATATGCTGATGCTGTAAACCGCTTAGAGAGAGTTGTAAAGCACTATAAAGCGGTATATAAATCTAAGTGCTATTGCTATTCAGCGGAGAGGAGAGGCAAGGACTTACACACTGGATGAATTATTTTCTATTGCTTCTGTTTGCATTATATTGAATTCTAGTATGACATGGTCACTTTCACCCAAGGTTCCAGCAACTTCTACTTCCTCTATTACTTCTTTTCCATTAGTAAGAATTAGGTCCAGTATAGCTTTACTTCTAGTTCCCCCCTCTAGCTTTTGGATGATAAAGTTTAGGAATCTGTTTGATCTCCCACTTGCTACAGAGTTGGTCTCCCAATTGATATCTGGATAGTTAAAGTCTCCCATTACTATTGTAGTATGCTTCCTAATACATTTGTTAAGTGGTTGGCAAAGAGTTCATCTATTTCTTTTGATTGATTGGGTGGCCTGTAATATACACTTATGGCAATGATCCCTGTAATCTGTGTGATGATGGAATGGGGTGGGATGCATAAGTTACCTCTTGGCATCTATGAAGAAATTCTCTGTCACATGCCAGGCCTTAACAGTGTCATATTGTAGATATTTTAAAAACCCAAATAAATATTGATGAATTATATTTCTTGCATTTTTAAAATAAGCATTTATTACACAAAATACTTCCTCAGGAAGATGGTGGACTGAAGATATGTCTATGAATACAGAGCTGAAGATTACAGCTACAAAAAAGAGCCAAAGAGCAGATCAGCTTCTTTGACCCTTTGTGGAGAAAGGGAGGATGTGAGATCGCCCCTGTTGTTCTCCATACATTTGTTTCTTGTGAGAAGACTGCAAGGCAGCAGTTTTCACAGGGTGGAAAACTTGGATATGAGGAAATTTACCATCTTTCCCCACCCGAAGACAGAGATTTGAAAGGACACAAAGTTTGTACTTCCTTTGCTAATGACTTTAGGAAAGTGCCTATTAACTGCTTTACAGAAGTTTAAATGATATAGTTGGAAACAGCCTGACTGCTTTCAATCCTTAATATAAGAAAAAGAAACCATATCTTTATAAACTATAAGGATTGAAAATAAAGAGCAAGAAGAAAGACAAGGTTTTAGCTACAGAAAGTTTTAAATGGATTAAGAGCCCAGAAAATGTGGAAATATTTGAGTTTAAATATTAACTTTGAATATATATTTTTTTATCAAATAAATGCATTTTGATGAATTTTCAACATTGGAGTTATAACAAGATGACCATTTGTGTATTCTTCTAAACAATCTGTTCCCAGAATAAGATGTTACATAAAAAGATTTGGAATAAAACTTATCTAACTTAAATATGGAGAACAATGTGGAAAAGAATTTCTTACTGGATAAACATATATTTCCCTCCCTATCTCTATCATATCTACTGCTATTATCTCTATCATCATCTATCTATCAACTGTCTATCTATCTATCTATCTATCTATCTATCTATCTATCATCTATCTATCTATCTATCTATCCATCCATCCATCCATCCATCCATCTATCTATCATCTATATCTTTCATGTATCATCTATCTACCATCTCATGAGATTTTAAAAATTAAGAATAAAATTAAAATACCAATCCTAGAGAGCAGTTGGAATAATTTCTTCTTACTGTATTTACAAAAGAGGTTTGTTAAAGTTTTGAAGAAATTTGAGACAAGAGTCAATAATTATTTACATTAATTAATGAAGAAGACTCATCTCATCTTCCTATATATCATATGAAAAATCATTTACAATATGAAATAATAAAGGAAAAAGATAGAGGACAGTAAATAGAACATAAAGACAATATTTGTAGATCCAGTCTGGACTGGCAATTATGGGATCCTTAACCCATGTCTAACCCATGTCTATAACTAAGCATAAGCATAGCTAAAACACTTTCTGTCTATTTATTTTGACTTTTGTTTTGCTTGATTTTTAACCACCTTTGGATGGTTTTGTTTACAATTCACTTGTGTGTCTTCTTTTGGTGAGATATTGGTTCCAAAATTGGTGCTTTTTCTTGTTCATTTAAAATTTCTTCAATTCAGTTAATATGTATGGTACCTTATGGTACCTTACTGAAAGTTACAATTGAATCTGGTGAGAATTAGCATCCGCTTCAGTTAAGTTTATTTTGGCACCAAATTCAACAAAATATATGGCCATTTAATGATTGTCAGATGTGGAAAACCCAAATAATCAAAACTAATTAAACATTTCCCCAGTGTGTGTTTTTTTAATTTTAATACAATGATTACTAAAACTTGGACATTTGAAGCAAAGCCAATATAACAATTAAAAGTAATGGCAATACCAGGACCACATACTTCTTTTATATAAGGATTTAATTCGACAGTTTTCTTTCCTTGTGACTAATAGAGCAAAATATAAGTAGATACTTGAGAATGTGGATATTAAACAGAACATTCGTGGAGAAAATGTGATTTCAGAGGGAAAAAAAATATTTCCCTCAAATTATTTTGATATGGATTTTTCCTTAATATAGTTTCCCTGAAAAATAAAAAGAAGAAATGGAAGTCCATATAAGCAAGATGATTTGGGATGACATTTGGATTATGAAATGGAAGTAGAGCTATGCTTTTAAAAATATGTTATTATCTTTTTATACAGAAGAGTCAACTGTTGATCAAGGAACTACTGTTGAAATCAGGGGTGTCCAATCTTGGCAATTTTAAGACTTATGAACTTCAACTCCCAGAATTCCCCAGCCAATCATGGAAGTTGAAGTCCACAAGTCTTAAAATTGTCAGGGTTGGATATTCTTTGTTTAAATCATGACTGCAAAATGCTTCCATTGAAACCAGTTAAATGGAAACTGACAAACATATTAAAACGCACAGACATTCTCACCGGTTCTTTGCTTCTGAATAACTTCAATAATTGCTTCGAAGCCTGGTCTGAAATATCACTAAAATTTCTATTTCCCAGTAAAATGTTAATACTTTTTTTTGATAATTTCTGCTGATGACCATTACTAGATCAATAATGTTCCTGATTGTTAAAAACAACCCTAAATTTGTGAGACATACAAAAGTTGATCCAGCATCCCTTTTCCTTCCTTTAAGAGTAGCACAGTAGCTTATCTTATGTCTGAAGCAGCACATGGTGGATGCAGATACTTCCCAAAAAGGCTACTTTGAAATATAATTAAAATATCAAGCAGGGAGGATTTCCATTTGTTTTGTCTCACATCCAATATTCTAAAACATCAGAAAGCCTGTAGCATTTTTATAAATATAAATATCATTTAAACAAACTGTGATAAAAAAGGATTTGATATATACTTACTATGATTTAAAAGTGCAGGGTAGGATAGCTGTATGTTAAATTATGCAAATATAATCTAACAAAAACAATAGTTTAAATTTCTGTTAGTAGAAATAGCTTAATTGCTATTGAAATTTCTGTGCTTTTCTTTTCCCTTTTTTCAATTTATTTGGCACAGCATTTGCTGTCAAAGGCCTCTTGCCTAATCTTATTCTGCTCTTGCTGCTCCTGTACTGCTGAGCCAATATCCAAGGCCAGCAACAAGTTAATGATAACCAAAGACTGGCTCCCTCACTCAGATCATCTACTAGCAGTTTGGCAGTTTGAGTCTCACCGGCTCAAGGTTAACTCAGCCTTCCATCCTTCCGAGATTGGTAAAATGAGGATCCAGATTATTGGGGGCAATAGACGACTCTGTAAATCGCTTAGAGAGAGCTGTAAAGAAATCAGATGGAAAAGTGAGCAAGCCAGCCTATCCTATGCAGTCAAATAGGCCACCTGCTCAAATCCTTTTATCGTGGTTTACCAGGTAGTTATATTCTCTGATAGTCAACAGTTGCTGTTGTTTCCTTTTATAATCCATGAGCTATCCTTAATTTAGAATGTTATGCTCCACCCAACCACTGCACCTCTCAATAAGCATACTTTTAGTTTCTGTCCAGGCCGGCTGCTCCCTTGGTTTTCCACTCACTGTCCATCCTACTTTTTCTGTTTTTAAAAATATGTTTAAGTCACAATATTTTGCTACATTATTTCTATGGAACTGAACTATTGGTTCTTTCTTGCTATAACATTACAATGGACCTACAAAAAGATTAGCTAAAAAAAGTCAGATTAATTATAGGAGAATTGGAGGATGGCAGGATAGAAGGATGGATGGATGGAGTCAAAAAAGATAATTTGGGGATGGGATATGAAGGCCTTCTTGTGTGCAACCATCTATGAAAATAAAGGAATGGCATGAAGAGTAGTGGGAAGGAAACAGTGACATAAACACAAATGGCAGTAGAATAATTCACACAGAAACCAGCAAATTAGGCTTCTCTTCCCTGCACAGATGGAAAAAGCAAGAAGCAAGGCAATGACCGAATGGACTAGCCATGAGCTGAACTGGACCAGTCCCTTTGTCAGTAAATTCACACCTGGACTGCATATTCTCAGGTTGGTTTAAGAAATGAAAGAAGTAGCAGAAGAGACAAACAGAACTGCCTGGAACTTTGCAGCATGCTTTCTTTCTATCTGAACTTCCTAAAAGGATGAAAACACAAATAAGAATATATCTAGAAAATGAAAGACAAAGAAAAATCAAGGAAGTCACAGAAATTGTAGGGACCAAATCAGAAAGACTAAAGTAGAGTTGAGATGAGATGACCAAAACAATAAAAATTGCTCTGATTTCTCTCTCTCATGAGAAATAAAAGGAAATGTTACAAGTATGAAAAATATAATGGACACATCTGATGGTGAGAAGGCAGAATGTCTTATGTCTTATTTTATGTCTCAGGACAGAAAAGAAGAGGGTAAAAGGACATTTAGCTATTCAAATTAATTCAAGTTTTGAGGACCAGATGAATTACATTGGAGGATATTGGAGATATTAGTGGAGGTGATTGTAGAACCATTGACTGTTATCTTTGAGAATTTCTGGACTACTGGCTATGTCCCCAGGGACTGGAGGAGGACATATCTTCCTATCTTCAAAAAGGAAAAGAGGATCTGGGAAATGGCAAGCCTGTCAGTTTGCTGTTTATGTTGGCATGTTGAGATTATGAAGCAATAAATTTCTTAGCACTAAGATGGAATGCAACAACTAACAATAATCAGTACAAGTGAAATGTGTTACAAATAAATCCTCCTCCTCCTCCTCCTCCTCCTCCTCCTCCTCC